GTGCAGGCAGTACACAGTTCAGGGAACTGTCTGCAACAAGGACGTTGAACTACTGTGTGTTAGCCTAAGACCTTTCTACTTGCCCCGGGAGTTTGGAAATATTCTGATATGTTCAGTTTATGTTCCCCTGACGGTAACGCATCCAGGGCAGCTTCTCAAGTGGCGGACTGTGTACAAGAGCAGCTTCAACGCACACCAAACGCCCCCATCTTTATTATGGGAGATTTTAAACACTGTAATCTGAACACTGCACTCCCAGGTTTTGAACAATATATAAAATGCGACACCAGGAAGAGAAAAACATTGGACAAATGTTATGGAAATATCAAGGGTGCATATTCAGCTTCCGCAAATTCTGACCACAACAATATCCATCTGATCGCCGCTTACAAAACAGCTCTTAAGAGCAGCAAGCCTCTTGTTAAATCTGCCAATGTATGGACTAAAGAGAGTATTGACACATTGAAAGGCTGCTTCTTATGCACAGAATGGGACACTTTTTCTGAGGAGAATGATGTAGACTGTGTTACAGAAGTCACCACAGACTATATTCATTTCTGCATTGATTCTGTGATCCTTAAAAAGACAATAAAAGTTTACCCTAACAGTAAACCTTACATCACAAAGGAGGTAAGAGACTGTATCAACGGGAAAAAACTTGCATTCAAGAATAAGGACCATCTACAACTAAGAGCAGTACAATCAGACTTAAACCAAAGACTGAGAGAGGCAAAACAACAACACAGGGCAACACTGGAGGATAATCTACAAAACATGAACAACAGGAAATTATGGGACTCTGTGAAAACTATGACCAACATGAAATCCACTAAAAAATCTTTATATGCTGGGGATGAATTATCCACAGCAAATGAACTGAACATTTTCTTCAAAAGGTTTGATAAACAAGATTTCTCAGCAGAGTGTAATAGTGTTTTGGAGAACATTCCCACTGCCGGGGCAGATAGGATTTTAATCGACCCTGAGGATGTGGAAAATGTTTTTAAAAGTGTCACTGTCAACAAGGCCACAGGGCCAGACGGCATTTCTGCTTTCTTACTAAAGATGTGTGCAGAGGAACTAACACCTGCTTGGTGCCCCATCTTTCAGAGGTCAGTAGATACAAACACTGTACCAGCAATGTGGAAAAAGGCAGTCATCACACCTATCCCAAAAATTCCATGTCCTTAAGACTGTAATGATTTTAGACCAGTGGCTTTAACTCCTGTTGTAATGAAATGTATGGAAAAACTTATGGTGAGCAGGCTGAAGGCGGAGGTAGGCCCACAGCTAGACCCATACCAATTTGCATACAGACAGCATAGAGGTACTGATGACGCTATCAATAGCTTAGTGCACATGGTCACCAAACATCTGGAGAATCCCAAGGCCTATGCTAGATTACTGTTTGTTGATTTTAGTTCAGCGTTTAACACCTTGCAGCCTCACATTCTACTTTCTACACACTAAATCAGCTTAGGGTCAATCCATTCATCATTAAATGGTATCATTCATTTCTCACTAACCGCACCCAGCAAGTCAGAGTGAGCAGAACTGTGTCAGAGCTCACAACCATCAGCACCGGAGCGCCCCAGGGGTGTGTTAGCTCACAAGTGCTGTTCACTCTCTACACAAATCAGTGTACCAGCAACAGTGGAAACGTACATGTTGTTAAATTTTCCGATGACACGGCCATCCTGGGCCTTCTGCAAACAGACTCGGACATTCACACATATACATCAACAACCAGCAACTTTGTGCAGTGGTGTGACGAACACCATCTCCTCCTCAACACAAAAAAAACAAATGAGATGGTGTTCGACCCTCGGTCTCTTGGCGACCACTCACCAGTGGTCATCCATGATCACACCATAACACAAGTAGAGTCCTACAAATATCTTGGCATCCACATAGACAATAAACTAGTGTGGAAGTCCCAGGTGGAAGCTGTCTGCTCCAGAGTGCAGCAGAGGCTTCACTTTCTGAGAAGACTCAGGACCTTTGGTGTGTCCCGGGAAGTGCAGCTTCTCTTCTACCATGCAGTAGTAGAGAGCCTCCTACAATATGGTATCTCTGCATGGTTTGGAAATTTGATCGTTCAGTCAAAGGCCCAAATCAACAGACTCACAAAGACAGCCATGAAAATCATGGGAGTTCATCAGCACCCCAGCCTCCAAGACATCTTTCAACAAACCATAATCAGACAGGCACAAAAAATAATCTCAGACCCATCTCATGTTCTTCACCCTGAGTACCAGCTCCTCCCCTCAGGCCGACGATACAGAGTACCCCGAGGGAGGAACAACCATTTCAGAAATACCTTTGTTCCCTTGTCCATCAAAGCCCTCAACAGTACCTAAGCTGTAATGTGTGTGTATACGTGTGCATGTATGAGGTGGTGAGTGTGTGTGAAGATGTGTAGATGTACCTGCACTGTTATCACTTTTCATAACTATTACATATTTATGGTTTTAGTAATTCACTCGTATGGCATTTTATGATTATTTAACTGACATGTTTTACCGACGAATGAATGTATTTTGTTATTTTTTGCTACTGCATCAGAGCTCTGTGAAGTCCAAGACAAATTTCCCACTGGGACAATAAAGTTAATCTTAATCTTTCTACAGCAGTTCTACCTAAAGGCTAAAATGCACTCACAACCTAAGCTGTTGTAGGAGACTTCAAGTGTCTGTTTGTGGATAGCATTGTTCGTTATTAAACATAGTATGACTAAGAGGAATAATGATTTTAAGGGTTATGAAATTATTAACCTGCTTACTGCTCTAAGTTAATGCAGTTATCCCCTCAGGAGGAGACAAATAACTAATCAATAAAAAATGTAATGTTGATAAAAACACTTTTACCTGATTAAGTCTAAAATGAAAGAGAAGCTCCACAAATGAAGGACACACTTTAGAAAAGTTTCTATTGCTCTGTTGCATATTCCTGCTAAAGATGTCAGAAATTACAAAAAGTTCAAGGCACAACATCTGATAACTGAAATCAGTGTTTGTGTCAAAGTAACAGTGGCTCTGTATCCTATGTCTAGTTTTAAATGTTTACATGAATTTGAGCTGAAGTGCTCATCAATAGTAAAGTCTATGAATACAAAAACTTCTCTGTGCGTGTTGTACCCATCCTACAGTCGGATGGTAGTGGTACCATCTTTTCTTCTTCTAATGGAGCTACTGTATCTCATTCAGGTTTGGTCTCACAAAGAGTACCCTCTGATCCCTGTGGGCAAACTGGTGCTCAATAGGAACCCAATGAACTACTTTGCTGAGGTGCAGCAACTCGCCTTCGATCCCAGCAACATGCCACCAGGTATCGAGGCCAGCCCAGACAAGATGCTGCAGGTAAACACAACTTTCTTTCTTTTCATTTGTTATTCTTGACACATTTTCCAGTAATACTGAATCTAAAAAAAGTTATTTCAGCTAAACTGTTCCTGTAACTTAAAATAATAACTGTCTCTATGGTGCCCTGTTTAAGTGCATGTTCAGGCATCTTAATGAGGGCATTTGGTGACCCCCAAGACTTTATTGTCTCCCAGCAGATCTTAGTCTGGACCCTAATCTTTTGAATAAATGACCAACGAGAAATCTTGTTTTGTTTTTTTAAAGACAGACCCTTCAGTTAAGCGGTGCCCTGTTGATGTTCATCTCCTTTATCTTTGTCTAGGGCCGTCTCTTCTCCTACCCAGACACGCATCGACACCGGCTGGGAGCTAACTACCTGCAGCTCCCTGTCAACTGTCCATTCAGGACCCGTGTGACCAACTACCAGCGCGATGGTCCGATGTGCATGTTTGACAACCAAGGTGAGTCATAGTCCAACCTGTGTGTGACGCAATAACAGAGACAGACTCAAAGGCTTTACTGTTGAAGCTTTGTATGTAGCACAAAAAATAAATCTTGTATAATCTACCTAATCTATCTTTTAGTCTGTATATATCAAAGGAGCATTGTAGTATTTGCAGCGATTGGGTTACTCACAGTGTGTCCAGGAAAGATGAGCCACCTTGTCTGAGACAAAGCACACCACAACAAACATCAAACCTGAGTGATGAAGTTAGAGTTAATTCAGTCTATAAAACACATCAGTTTAATACATTTGATCTCCCACTCACATCCAGTCATACAAATATTTAGTTTTCTGAAAAGACTTGGTAAAATACAACAGGGCAAGACCAAGAGTTGCCCAACAGATGTCGCCATTGAGACTGTATGAAATGCAATAGGACTCATACTAATAGGAGGGTGTTTAAGAAGAATTGTAAGTTGCTCATCTAATTCAAACTGAGTTTAAAACTAACCACAGTCATCCATGCACACAGTTAATAAAGTTCTTTATTCTGTTCAGATTTTAACATAGCAGTTTGTTCTGTCCGGCTTCTAGGTGGAGCCCCAAACTACTATCCCAACAGCTTCAGTGCTCCTGACACCCAGCCTCAGTTTGTGGAGTCCAAGTTCAAGGTGTCTCCAGATGTGAGCCGTTACAACAGTGCAGATGAGGACAATGTCGCACAGGTGAAGAAAACATCCCGATATTACAAGCACGTTTTCTTGGGCAATGCTTTCAGTTGTCATGGATTTCCGGTTTACACAACTGACTGGTGCCATTTCACCACAGGGTGGTTCTTTTTCTTTCCTAATTTCCTGTGCGCTTCCTGCTCTGTACCAAACAAACAGACACAGCTAACCGCTTCATAGCCCAACATAATAAATCAGTGTTATGTCTAACAGGTTCCTCCTCTTTCACAAGTCACCATGGACATAAGTCAATATGGTTTTCAAATAAAGACTGAAATGAAAATCAAGAATAATGAATCATTGTAGAGCAAAACAAGTGAACTAATCTACACATGAACTGTATGTGTGTTACTACTCTAAGGTAACCAGGATCGTGACAAGGCTAGAGATGATTGGCTTTATTTTAGAAGCTATCCTGTCTGTATGAAGTGGACTGAAATGGATATCATTTTGATTCAATCTACTCTTACCAGGTTTTTAATGTGTGTTTTCAAATTTGAATTGCAGGTTCGGACCTTCTACACCGAGGTGTTGAATGAGGAGGAGCGGGAGAGGCTTTGCAGTAACATGGCTGGTGCCCTGAAAGGAGCCCAGCTCTTCATCCAAAAGCGCATGGTGAGTCCTCACTGCATTTTTATCCACACAGTCTCTGTCACCTGGACATGCTTGATGCTGTCATGCTTGGTTATTAAACAGGTGAATGCACTGACTTGTTTTTTTAACAAGTTGTCAGGGAACAGTGATTTGTACTGATCCTGACTTCTACTATGATTGCAGAATGATATGAATGAGTCTGAGGGCTTCTTAATGGTTGATTTGCTAACTTTTACATAAAGACTTTTAAGTCATCTTTTTTGTGCATACATTTTCTCAGTGATGTCAGATACAAAATGGATTATTCAGGTTCATTAAGAATCTGAAGGCCCTTACTCATCACTGCACCTGGCACTATATGCTTGTGTCAGCTTCCCTGCATTGTCATGTTGACTAAATCACTGGCATTTCCTGGTTTATGAGCTATTTCTTAACTTTCTTCCTTCTTATGTATGTCATTTTGTTAATTTGAATAATACTGGAAGCTACACTCCTCACCCTGTTTTTCATATCTGTCTCCAAAGTGCCTCTTTACATGAGAATACAGGAGTTATAGGTAGGCTGCCCTATTTGGCTTAGGGCGCACTCACACGAGCAAAGTTGTCCCGTACTGTGCTTAAGCACGGTTGCCCCCCCTCCCCATTACCCCGCTGGCCTGCTCTCACACTGCTCCAGGACTAACCGGGCCCGAGCACGGCTACCTCTTGCACATAAGGTCGTAATACAACACATGCATGGCTTTACTTAATAATGAAGCGTGCTTAGGGTACAAGACAGGCTTAATTTTAATTAATTAATATTTATAATAATAAACATGAATAAATAAATAAATAATTAAATAAGTCAAATCACAATAAGGTATTCTATCTTCCAAAAGAATCATCATATCTGGACCGTTTGACAAAAGACATTTGATCAGACTCTGATTGTTAGAAGTATAAAGAACATCTTTTTCAGGGCCTTAATATCATATTATCTGTTTTCTCTTGCAGGTTGAGAACTTGAAGGCTGTCCATCCAGATTATGGAAACCGGGTTCAGAATCTTCTCAACAAGTTCAATAATGAGGCCCAGCAGGTAAATAGTAACTGTCTGATTGATTCTTGGCGAGTAGTTTTGATATGTTTATAAAACTTGAAGCAAACATTCAGGCAGGAATCTGAATGACTGAGGGGATTCCCTGGGCGCTGTTTCTTTAGTGTCATCATGACTTTGACATTTTGGACTTCCCAGAGGAAGACTAAAACTTTTGGAAGTGTCCTGACTATTGTTTTCAGCTATTCTAGCAGGTCCACATTTAAATTTAATGGTTTTCCTCAACAGCTGTTCAGTGGGGAGCAAATGTTTGCATATGAATGGATTTTTTTACTTAATGTTATCAGAGCAGTTGATGAATTATTTACTGTCTGCATACAAAAAAAAATTGCGTAGAAAGTTTCTGACATGAATGATCTACCCTAGCTTAAAATATCAAGGCAACTATCGTAGGGCTGCTTGATTATGGCAAAAATCATAATCACGATAAATAAATGAAATAAAAAAATATATATATAAATTTGTGATTCTGATTCAGTGTTAAGGCCAGCAGAGAAGGCCTTACTGTCACTGACTGCCAACCTCTGACAAGGGCTGACATGGGGCGGCTCAGATGTAGAGTCGGCCGTCTCTCAACTGGAAGGTTGAGGGTTCGATCCCCAGCTCCTGCAGCAACATGTCTGATGTGTCCTTGGGCAGGAATGAATTGCTCCTGCTGCTTCGTGTGCGGTGTATGAATGTGTGTGAATGGGATTAGGTAGTTCTGATGATCACTTGACATAGCAGCCTCTGACATCAGTGTGTGAATGTGTGGGTGTGACATGCAGTGTAAAAGCACTTTGTGTAGTCAGAAGACTAGAAAAAAGCGCTATACAAGTCAATTTACCATTTTCAGTCTTCAGTATTTGAGCTCATATTGTATACAGATGTTTATAGATCAAGGATAACATTCAGCCTGCTCACGAGGACAAGGATGTTAAACAGAAATGAAAGTTATTCCATGACAGACATTGGGCACATTAATTGTCAGAACATTTGGATATACTGTATATATTTTTTTGTGTGTCTGGTGGCAACATTTCGTAATGCAGATTTATTAGTGTTGAGTCGTAAACAGCTGTCTGCAGGTAACGTTTTCTAAGATGTGCATCTGGTATACAGTTGTAAAAAAGCTTAATACCAACTCTCTCTCTCGCTCTCTCTCTTTCACTTCCACTCTCTTAGAACACACCCGTGCATGTCTACAGCCGTCCAGGAGTCTCGGCCGTCGCCGCATCCTCCAAGATGTGATGCCTTAAATTTCCAGAAGGGGCAGCACCCTCATGTATCGCAGAGCAAATGCACTTCTTGATTAACAACTGCTACTAAGAGTAACGAGATTGGACTAAACAATTAGTATAATGACGAGACTGAAACACCGACTTGTAATGTGAGGGTTGTGTTTTTTTTTTTTTTTTCATTCAGTCCATCCAAACAGTTGATTTTCCTCAAAATCCTCAAAGCTTTCAATATTCAGCAGATTCTTTATCTCTGTCATTTGTCTTGATTGAACACTAATTTCAAAAACAGATGAAGTTGTTATTTTTTACAGACTGAAACAAAGACCACTATGGTAACTAATGTTAACTAGATCGAGTACAGCATGACGAAATGGAGGGCTTGCCTTTGACCAAATATGGCCTCAATGCTAATGTTTGTTTGTTTTTAAATATAGGTGTGATTGGAGTTTCAAGTTCAACCTCAGCTTCTTCCATGTACCAGGATGAGTGATTATTTCTTAGGTTATGTTTGTATGTTGGATTGATTCATCTCTCTCCAAAAAAAAATCCAAATCAGCTATTCTGTTAGTCTTCTTTTAACATTCACATGTGATTCAATGTGTGACATATTCAGCATTAATCTCCGATCAGGTTGTAAAATACATTGATTTTTTTATGTAGTGTTGGCACATGCCAACTGCAAGAAGCAGTATTTTTATTTTTCACTGCAGGCAATCATAAGCGTTGGCTTGTTTTCCTCACGATTGACTGAACCTCAAAAATCATTGCATTCTTCATGAGAAGAACTTTCAAACTGAAATGATTTTTCAGTTTGATCTGGGGGTGTTTGTGGGCGCATGCATGTCAGTAATGCAGTTTACAAAAAGGACACAATTACTTTCACTTCATCAAAAAGTCAATAGTGCCTTTTTGTACTAAATACAAATATAAATAAATTAACCTGAAACTCAAAAATCATTGATTAACTTCTCTTTAGTGGAAAAGAGAAACTTTGTTGATTTATATCGTGGTCTATCAGTTAACGTAGGGTTAATGTGGCTAAGTAGCATTAAAAAAACAGAGACTACATCCTCATCCTAATCAAAAAACACAACCACTAATTCCCTCCTATTCTGGTTTTCTTTCAGACTGACTAGAAATGTAGTTTAGGGCTTTCATGTTTGTCCATTCTATGCAGAGAAAAAGACCCTCGACTAAATGCACAGTTTATTGTGTCACTGTGTAATATACACTGTATGACCTGTTGTGTGTTTGCTAACTCTTCAAAGTGTAAAAAATATATTTTATATGAATGTTTAAAATCAGATTTGTATTTAGTGCCTGTATTAAATCGAAGCTTAACAGCAGCTTTCATGTCTCGTTCTTTTGTTTGAAGACATCTTTGTTTTCTTCAACGCTGTATGAGAAGAGGAAACTAAAATGCCAGTTATCTCATCTAGCTCATCTATAGTAAGTTGCCATTTCAGTTTTTAAAGTTGCTTAGAGTTCTCTCAATGCCAACCAAAACACAGATTAATAAACCATAAGACCTTATTTAGTTCTGATATTTAAGGGATTACGGAGTTGACGTGTTATGGTTGAGACACCTGATAGCATCATTTAATGAATTTCTAAAAAAAATAGAAAGCTTAACGATATTTAAATGTCATCCCCCCTTTTCCCTTCAGGAATGAAGACAGGGGTCCTTTGGTTATAGCTCACCTCTTTTTATGCCTGATTATTTTGTGTATTTGTAAAAGGCTGACGGAGTTTACAAAAAACTGGGACACATTTTAACAACTCAAAATGTTCACAAAAAAAAAACATTTTAAAATGTAGATGACTATAATAATCTTTTTTTTTTACACCCGTTGTATCAGTAGGTTTTGTAGTTTTAAGATTTTGTATGATTTTGACACATTTTTAAATAGTTTAAAGTTTTAAATTTGTGTCTTGGACAAGGGTGCTTTCTGTCAAAGGGCAGGTTTAGACTTAAAAAGAAAATAAATCAGAACCAAAATTAGGTATTTCAAATTGGTTTCATATATAAAAATCTTTTTAAAAGATTTTCATAAGTGTATTTGTAAGTGATATTTTTAATCTTGTTTGCCTGGGACATGATTTTTCCCAATTCTCAAGAATGGGTGTTATTCAAATTTAAGAAGAAGCTAATCTTGCATACCCATTGTGGTCAGGTTGGTTTTGCCTCATTGGCTGGTATCAGGTAGAAAAGCAGCCTGTGCTGTGCTTACCCTCAAAGGAGCACACCAACACTCACAGCGACACGATCATAGTGTGTGTACACCCTCCTGCAGCCTGCACTCCAAACCTACAGATAAGACGACTGAGATGAATCCTGAAGGTGTTCCACTGCAGGGAAGAGGATATGAAGGATATCCAGGATATCCAGGATATCCAGGACAGCCTGGATATCCAGGACAGCCTACAGTGCTTCAGTCCACCACTGTGAACATCGTCACTGAGCCCCCCAAAGACTACATCATCTGGTCCTTCTTCTCCTTCGTCTACTCGAACCATTTCTGCCTTGGACTGGTGGCTCTCATCTACTCCATCAAGGTCAGTTTAAAAACATCAGTTAAGACTCACTGATGAACAAAATAACTCGGTCTTTGACATTGAAAAAGCATAAAATGTTCATGAACAATACCAGGAGAAGAATTTTCCTGTGGTTTTTGCAGAAAACTTGAGTGAAGTTCTTAAATTTCAAAAACATGTAAAAGTATTGTTAAAAGCTTCGCTTTATTTGAAGGGTCTTTTTGGAGATTTTTTCAATTTGAAATTCCAAACTATCAGTGAGTAAGAAAAAAAAGACTCATCATTGAAAGGATGACAGGTTTGAGATGAAGACCATTTTCGCTTCATTATACAATCATTCAATCATCGTAAATATTTGTTAAACGTGTTCAACTTTGTTTTTTTCTTGAAGATAAACAATTTACTGAACATAATGAGAGGTGCTTCTGTCGTTTCAGTCCAGAGATCGGAAGATGGTTGGTGATCTGGAGGGGGCTCGACATTATGGAGGAACCGCCCGCACCTTCAACATTATATCTTCTGTTTTGTTTGGCATAGGGGTCCTAATCTCCATTATTATGTTCATTGTGATCATTGTGAGACTTCAGGAAATTCATATAATCATTATGTTATGGTTATTATAGAAACTGATAGAAAATGAACTGTAAAATCATTTTGGTTAACTGAAACTAAAATAAAAACAAGGCTTTGCAAAATAAAAACTATAACTTGCCTACCTTTTAACCACTTATGAACCAATACGCAGTCTGCGATCCTCTGGCAGAGCCCTACCGGCTGTTCCAGGCTAAAAACTAAAGGGGACAGGGCCTTTGCTGTCAGAGCCCCCAGACTTTGGAACAGCCTGCCAGAGGAGATCAGACTTGCAGAGTCAGTCCCTTGTTTTACATCTCTACTCAAGACATTCTTTTATAAAAATGCTTTTACTCTGTGATATCGTTAATTGTTTTTATTTTTCATTTTATTAGTCTGATTTTGTTGTCTGCTTGTTTACGCTCTGCCTGTTGCTTTAATTGTCTCTGCTTTTATTTTCTGTTGCAAAGCACTTTGCTACTTGTATAGAAAAGTGCTATACAAATAAAGTATTATTATTATTATTACCTGAATCTGTATCATGTGTTTACAAAACTAAATAAAAATTACATTATAGACAAAGTGTCCTTTGTCTTTGTGTTTGACACGAGCATACTGACTGATATGCCGTTTATGTTTTGTCTCAGGCGTGTCTGGATGAGCATGTTCATGCAGAAGTTAAAACGGTTTTCCATATTTTTTTTAAGATATATATTATATTCTTTAGACTCTAAAGGATATGTCAAAGTCAAAGTCCTATTGGGTCGGGGGCCGGATTTGTCCAAATGAGACCTCAAGTGGGCCGGACTCATTTTGCCGACATCACTATAACTCAACACATGGATATATAGGCTAATGTATGATTGTATAGAAAACTTTAACATTAACATTAAGCAGAGGGGTTAACTCTGTCATTGCAAACTGCATGTTGGCACATGGAAATATTTAAATGTACCACATTACAGAAGAAAACATCAATAATTATGTTTTGATTGAGATTATTATATTATGTTTAAATATTGCTATTCAAGGTTATAGACACTTTGACACCTTATTCTACCTGCCCTGGGCTCAGTGCATTAGAGAGAGAGAGAGAGAGAGAGAGAGAGAGAGAGAGAGAGAGAGAGAGAGACTTTAGATCAGTGTGTGTCAGGCCACAGCACAGTTTGCACTCGTTAAGGTTCATTACAGATAAAACCTGCTCACGTGAATAAGTTGTCACAAACAAACAGAGTGTCTTTGATGCATCTTCGGGTCTTTAAGTATGAGGCATTATAAAATGATAACATGTTTCCAAACGAACTGACTTGAATTGATCCTTCAGCTTTGCGCACTGCAGTCTGATCAGCTCCGTGTGGAGTGCACGTTCTTCAACTAAGTAGACTCAGTTAAACGACTTTTCATGAGTCTGGCAGTCCGTTCTTCTACGTGTCCGCAATATCGTGATCTAACTCTGTCACTGACTTTTTATGCTCCATGAATCTCTGCCATCTCCGTGCGCAATTCAAGGAAGAATTTTAGCGCTGCTCCATGATTAAACCAGCGGACCTCTGTATGATCGGGCAGCCTGTGCGTGATATCGTCTTTGTATAAGAATGAAATGTTCAGTAATAGTTACATATTTACGGTCTGATGAAAGCTGGTGATAAAGGCGCAACAGCAGGCTACTGCATTTAGAAGTGATTTCGCACTGAAACTTTTAGGTGATCAACACAACACGTTCACCTCTGGGTGCAGGGGCGGACTGGCCATCTGTGTGTTCTGGAGAATCACAGAACGGCCGGTACTCCAGGATGGCCGGCGGCCGCCACGCAGTCATCACCAGTTTTTTTTTTTTCCTGCTAATTTACTGTTTCACACTCCAGTCCGGTAGGTGGAAACAATGCGTCTTAAAGTTGGATGCCAGCCGGCAGCTGCCTGTGCCCACCAGCTATAATCTAAAAGAAGAAGTAGTAGTAGCAGCTAGTGATGTGAAAAGCAGTTCTTTTCAGTGTACTGAATCATTAGAATCAGTTCAGTAAAGTGATTCGTTCAAAAGATTCGTTCACCGAATCGTTCAGTACTTCTCTGCAGCTCTGTCTGAGAATCAGAATTTAATAAGCTGAAATACGACCGAACGTTTAGTTCTGCTCGCGATCGTACTGAGAACAGCAGGTGGTGAATAATAAACTAATGAGCTGAGAATTCACATTTATTTTCCCCGACCATTCTGTTCAGTACGTTCAGTACACAAATCACTCACTGACTGACTGACTGAGAGGAAGAGAGTGACTCGGAGGCGGTGCTCTCGTTCACTGTTCGCGTGAACGTCTCGTTCAGTTCGTTCAGTGAACGTGAACGAGCTGCGAGTCACCAGCCTCAGTCACACACACACACACACACACACACACAATGTACTGACTGAAACACGATTGTTAGTGGATGTTAAAAAAGTCTCCCGACCGACTCCGTCCTGTTGGTTCAGTCAGTATGTGTCACGGACATGAAAGGGAGAGGGAGGGCGGGCTTTGAGCGACTCTCTTACGGTCTAGAGAGAGATACGAGACGGGAGAGAGGAGAGCGCAACTGAAGTTGAGAAATGAACGACTTTTTTCAGTAAGTGATTCAGTTCAGTTCGTTCACCTAGAAGATTCGTTCTTTTTGAACGAATCGTTCATGACCGACACATCACTAGTAGCAGCGAAGACGATCTTTGGTAGTAGTAGTGAAGCACAAAAATATGGATAACGTTTGTCAAAAAAACACAAAGAAAAGGGTGGGGCTGAGAAGGCGAGGGAAAAAAAATGCGACATTTAGAAAGTGAAGCCGCTAAATGTCGCAAGCTCACTGAAATGTTCAGCAGCACAGCCGGCAGCAGCACTGAGGCACAAGTTGACGTTAGCAGCAGCATCCAAGAAGTTAGCAGCATGAGTGAAGAAGAGAGAGTTGAGGCGAGCCGGACAGTTGTGCAGC